CTATTGCACATAAAGATAAAAGTAATTTTCATGAAAAATGACTATGTTTTAAAATACATATCGTGAGAAAAATGACACTGTTTTATAGTTTTGCTGATTTCTTTAATGTCCAGCTTAATAGAAGCCAGCTGGATTGTCACACATCTGACTGTCATACACCCAGTCTCTTGTGATGTCACACAGAACGTGGGCTCTGGAAAATTCTACTCTACACTTGTGAGAGAAAGAGAGAAAAAGGCAAATCAGGCCGGGCGTGGTGGCTCACACCTGTAATCCTAGCACTCTGGGAGGCTGAGGTGGGAGGATTGCTTGAGGTCAGGAGTTTGAAACCAGCCTACTATAAATAGAAAGAAATTAATTGGCCAACTAATATATATAGAAAAAAGAAAAGAAAGAAAAAGGCAAATCACACCTTAGTATTCTCATAAAAATAGTTTTGAACTTACAATACGCTGAAAGATTCTTGGGGTTTCTCATGTTCCTGTGCCATAGTTTGAGAACTGGAGACTGACTAGGCCTAGGGGGAACTGCAAAGGAAAGACTCTTACACGGTGGGATCCAATATATCAAACCTGGGTGACCTGGGAAAACTGCAATGCTTCCTGCAGAATGGGGATGCTCGTGGGGGAAGGCAGCTTGCTGGGGAAGTTGGTAGTTTCTGGTTTTGGTGTTTTGAATGTGAGCTGACAGATGGCCATCCAAGTAAACACAGAATTAGATCACAGAAGCTGATAGACTCTTTTGTTACCAATGAAAAGGAATTTTTAAAGTTAATTTAAAAATAAAGTAGAAGCACGTACTACAATTTCTATTTGATTCGTTACAAACTATTCAGTTTTTTTGAAGAATGTAACATTAGAGGAACTCAACTATACTACAGAGATTTTATTTTTTAAGATAAGGAGTAAATGTGTGAGCATTTATCATATTATTCTTAATATATTTTGTATGTCTGAAATAATTTATGATAAATTAAATTTTAAATTCACACCACACGCTAATCTACACATATCGCATGCACACACACAAAACACATTTATATTCCTTAGATCAGATGCCTTTTTTATTTCTATAAGAAAGCTTATTTTGTCTATTGGGGGGAAAAAGAAAAATAAAGAAAATAAACCCTAAATCTTGCATCTTCTCTTTAGACACTGCAGTGCAGACTGCAGGAAAAAAACTTACCTGCAACATAGGGAAAAATTAGGGAAAGGGTAAGCCAAATGGGAAGACAGATGAATATTTCCAAGATTCCAAAGACCTATATTTTATTAAAAGCATTTACCAATGATTCAATCAGACCTGATGTTCCCAGAGGAATTTGCAGCACTTATTGGAAGAGGTGAAGGCAGAGAAAGAAAGAATTACTAACTGTGTGATGAGTTTCCAGTAATATCAGAGGCGTGGGAAGAACAAAGTACTTAGAGGGCGCAGCTGAAAGGATGGGACTGCATGTCCCTAGGAGGCTGTCTAGCAACGCTTGGCTCTGGAATTGGCTCAGTAGACCTGCGTGTGAGTACTGACTCAGTCAGGCACTGCTACCTTTAAGACTTAGAATTACTTCATTGCATAAGCTTTAGTTTCAAAATATTTTTATTGATAAATATATGGTAATAGTGGCTGCTTTGCAGGATTGCAGTGAGGGCCAATGCAGGGTAGGACCCAGGGAAGTCAGCCCCTCGCACTGCAGGGCGCTGACCAGTAAACTTTCACTGCCCTCCACACTCACGCCCACCCACCGCAATATCCACGGCTCTCTCCTGGATGATTTTAAAATACTGCTGACGGCTGCCTGGGCTTTCCATATTCTAACTGCTTTGATTACAATCTTAGCCACCACGTCAAGTAATTGTCCTTCTTAAGGCTCTGAAAACCTTGGCCCTGGCTTGCACCAGTCTTCACTCATCCGAAAGCATTTCTGGAGCATTTGCTATGCTTCCTTTATATGCGTTTCATAGGCTTTGAATTTTCTGATTCTTCTTTAGCTCTACAACTATTACATCTCCACCCCATTACATATATTTATTTGCTCTATAATTCATTCCAAATTGTTTCCTATAGCCATTTTAACAAACTAAGAAATGAAGTAGGAAAGAATATATATCTTATTCCATATTTTACATAGGAAAGTAAATATGATAACAAAAAACTCCTAATATTCTTTAAAGAAGGATGTCTGGGGAGTGTGTTTAAAGGCAAGATGAAAGGGGATGATTGTTAGAATATCTTAAGTCACTAATAAGTTCGCAGGCAGAAGGAGGCTGTCATTGACCCTCTTTGTCTACTGTTGTGGCTATTCAGTGAATATACTCTGAGCTGGGACTCTGGACTAGAATGCAAAGAATGCATTCATTCTTTGAATGAATGAATGAATGGATGAATGAATGAGATAAACAAAAAAATACAGTACATCTAAAGACTGCTTAGTCAAAAATAATGCCCATCCACAGAACGGTATAAATTGCACTGTGTGGATAATTTGGCCAAAAGGGAAGCTAAACATTTTGAAAATCAAGAATTCCATTTTTGGTGCTTTTTTTTGACTCAGGGATATAATTCATATTACATAGGGATAAAAGTTAACCTTAAAGATAAGTAAAACATCTTCTTGCTAATAATTATTTCATAAATATATGTGTTCTATAAACTAACATAACCCTCATTTTTTTTAAGTTGTTTCATGACCTTTGCAAACAAATGAAAGACTCACATTTGCTAAGTTCCCTTTAATACTTAATTACTAGAAATTTAAGGACCTAGCAGGGACTGCAGCTGTTCTGAATTTCAATTATTTTTCTGCTTATCTTCCAGACTGATAACTTGGAGCTCCGGCTGGATGCATTCCATTTTTCAGCAACGGGAAGCATCAAGAGAATCTTGTTTCCCACATAACTTAGTGGAACAGGAGAACTGGGTCACCCAAGAGCTTCAGCGAGGCTCTTGGGAGGGCTCCGGAAATAAGCAGGAGCATTTACACTACTGAGAACAAGTGGTTTTGATCAAAACACTCAGCAAGTAAAGCAGGACACTGGGTGGAACAGAAGAGGTGGTAGGAAAGACTACCTGACTTATTAAAGACTGTCTGTGTAAAATAACGATACATTCTCCTTCTGGTGAATCTGAGCATTTCTTGCCGTGTTCTGGCACCAAGATGTTGAATCACATGTCTCACGTAGAATTGTAGGTTTTTGCAGAGTTTGATTGGATCTCAAGCATAACCTTAATCAATTTCTTTAGAACTGGGGAGAGTAGGATCCAGAGAGGTTCAAGGACTTATCTGAAGTCACACAGCTAGTTGGTGGCAGTGCTGGGAACAGAACCTGTTTCCTATTCCCAGTGTGTGCACTTCCCTCTCCCACACATCTGCTTCCTCTACTCCTTTAAGCGTCTTGTTCCTTTAGGCCACAGCTCAAGTGTTCTGGTGGGTATTCTCAGCACAATCTCTAGATTGCTGTTTTTGACACTTACGTGTTTGGCTTCCTTCTTGTCCGCTAATTTTTTTTTTTTAAACCACGCTTTTGTAAAATCATTAGGTTCTGTGGTAGAGTAGGGCACTGATGTTTGAGAATTTGTTGCATTTGCACAGTTTCTAGATGGCAAGTGATACATAGCTGTATGCTGCTGAATTAAGGTGTGTTTAAAGAATCATGCAGCTGCAAGGAGCTGTGTGGAGCAAGTGAGCCAAGTCCCTGCTTTGTAGATGAGGAAACAAAAGCCTACAAAGTTTAGGGGCCATCAGTTTAAAATACAAAAGCCTTAACATCATATGAGATTCTATCAAAGCAAAGTTTATATATTTGAACTTCGACTCCATCAAAGATTCCACAAAAATGTTCACTTTTTTATTAATTTACAAAAACTGTTATTAAACTGTTATATGTTGATATACGTTATTTTGTTATTCATTGTTTCATTCATTTGGAGGGATTCTATAGGAATAGCAGGAAAGCATCAACCAGTAAAAATTATTTGAAGGCTAGGCTCAGTGAAACCAAATAGTTTCATGCCATTTGAGTGGCAATAGATTATTGTGATCATTAACATTATGACTCATATTTTGGAGATGTACAGTATTTGCCAAATGAATGAATAATAAATATGAAAGTATTTGGGTGAACACAAAGCATTCCACTTTAGAATGCTGATGTTGAGCAACGCATATTTGGTAAATTTTAAATTTTTAAAGTTGAGAGTCAATTGAAAATTCACTGGGAAACTGAATGTCCAGAACAAATATCATAAAGAATATTGCCGATTCTGCTCTGGGATACCTTTACTGACGGATTAATCTGAGAAATAACAGTTTGTGAAATACTAAATGACATTGCAAATTATAAAAATGGAGTTCTCATAATATTTAGTTCCCTGCAATTTAAAAACCACATGTTGGCCTTTCAATAACGATTTTAGCCATATCAGGTGCATGAATAGACTCCAGGAACCATCTGCTATAAGGCTGCCAATTAACTTTGCTGTGTTCTCCCGGAAATACTGACTGTTCCATTAAAACAAGTGGCTTTTCCAGGAAAAAAATGATCTTGGGATTTTCTTTGGTCATTAGATAGCTGCACGCCAGATAGGAACATAAAAATTTTCTTTGTGTGGGGAAAGGGGAGAGCTTTCCTGAAGTTTGACTCATATTACAAAAATGGGGGGAAGGGATTTAAGTGCTTATTTCAGTTCCTTTTCCAAACATGGAAAGTTAAATGGTAGTTCAGTCTCAACCCTTTCAGAGAAAGATCTCATTGCAAATGTAAACTTCACTACTCAAACCACAGTGTTTCATATATTACAAATAACCCAGACTTCAAGATTTAAAATGCCACATGCAAATCCTAGTTTAAAGTCCAGAAGTGTTTGTGAGATCAAAAGCAAAAGAATGCTATCTATGGTCTTAGATGCTCATTTAACCTTTAACCTTATTTCTTTTTAACTGTCTACATTATGACAGTTAAAAAGCTCCACATTTTATCCTTTTAATTGTAAAACAGATGAGAGAACTAGTATTGCTTTGTTATTAGTTGGCCGCGGAGGATATTAGTGCAGAAATGGAGCTTAATCATGGCCTTTAAATTTTAGATGTGCTCAGATCCATGAGGCCAGGTTGCCTCGTACTCTGCTTTGCTGCCGTGTGATAGAGAGGGATCGAATTTACTTGACTCTTGTAAGCGACCTTCTCTAAGGATAAAAGCTGCATAGAACGTATTTCTTGAAACAAGTCAGAAAACTTCACCTGTAATTCTATCTTTGCAATGTTCTTGCTTCTGTGAGCCTCATTGTTCCCAGTTTCTGAAATAGGAATCATCGCTCATCCTGTGTAGCTCTTAAATTCATTGTGACAATCAAGATAGCCTTGAAAAATTGTGAAGTCCTGCAGAAGTTTAAGGTACCATTGTAACTGTCGAGTGCTACATGTACTGAGGTTGACAAGGGTAAACCTTTGATTTTCTTTGCTGGAGACACTGAAACACACTGAATATCGGGTACCTGTCCAGAGGGTGCCTATTGCTCTAAAATTGCTTACCTAGAAAAGGGTAAAAGTCTACAGAGGTGGAGTGGAGAAGACAGAAATTTTTTTAATTAGCGTATGAAACATAGTTTTCTGTCACCTAAGAAAGTGCTCTTTCTCCCTGCCTCCCTCCCTGTCTCCCTCTTTCTCTCTCTCTCTCTCACACACACACATCAATATAAACCCATTGATTCCTTTTTGTTCAAGTTAGTAATAATCTATTATTTTCATTATTCATATTGATTCTCAAATTGTCACAGATTTGGCTATAAGGAGTCCCTTCAAGCTTTCTCCTTTGGCCCACTGGCATGTCCTCATCATATTTCATTCGAGCTCTTATTTATTTTTGCATAAGCTGTGTTGGGCTCATCTTGTGTTTTCCCTTTCCCAGCCTTGGAGTCAGCCATTTTCCTAAGTAGCCCTGGTTCCTTTTACTAGAGTAAGGAATATAGAAACCAAGCTCCTCATGCTAGGTGTGCTCATTGCTACCATAGTGTCACTGCTTTTAGGTTTTTTGAGGTATTCCCTCAAAAAATAAAGGGAAATAAGGGAGGAGAAGTGGTCGGTCAGAAGTGTGTGTCTGTTTGTAGGTGAGATAATGAGTCTTCCAAGTAGAAAGAACAGCATGTATAAATGTGCGTGTGTGTGTGTGTGTGTGTTTGTGTGTTTGTGTGTCTGTGTAAAGAGAACAAGAGAGAGGAAGTAAGAGGGTAGAGGGGTTGGGAGGGGAAGAGAGAGATTTTATTAAATAAACTTCCGTGTTTGGGGAGCATAGGTTTCTTCATGTGTGGAATATGAGACACGGGCCTAGAGACAGAGAGAAACCATACCACGAAGGGCCCTGTATGCCGTACTAAGATACAGAGGCTCCTCTACTTACAATGGGGTAATGTCCTAATAAACCCATCATAAGTCCAAACTATTATAAGTCAAAGTGTATTTGATACCCTAAAAAAATCCATCATAAAGTCAAAGAATCATTACTCAAACCAGTGTAAGTCAGCGACTGCCTGTATTTGATTTATTCCCTAAGGTGAAGGCTTTTAAACAAAGCACCTTATTGGTGACTGTAACAGCGAGAATTTCAAGCAGAGCTTCAGGGACCAGGAGAGGCCATGCGCAGTAGTGAGGCAGGAGGGTGTGCCGTGGGGCGGATCTGTTCTCCCAGCTCTGCCCACACCACGCTTCTGAGATGGTGGATTACTTGGCAGCCCGGACTTCTCCCCTTCCTTCCGTCCTTTTCCTTTCCGTCATCCTGTTCGGGCTTTCTGTCATCCAACCTGAGGAAATTTAGAAATAAGACTGTTGACTCCTGCTTTCTAGTGGTGTTCACAAAGTCTTTTTTTAAAGATAGAAGCATGGAAAGATAAATAACAAAAGCCCAAAGCCATGCTCTCTGCCATCCATCCTCTTTTTTTTAGACAAAGTCTCACTCTGTTGCCCTGGCTAGAGTGCCATGGCATTAGCCTAGCTCACAGCAACCTCAAATTCCTGGGCTCAAGCAATCCTCCTGCCTCAGCCTCCCGAGTAGCTGGGACTACAGGCATGCGCCACTATGCCCAGCTGATTTTTTTTCTATATATATTTTTAGTTGTCTAGCTAATTTCTTTCTATTTTTAGTAGAGACAGGGTCTCGCTCTTGCTCAGGCTGGTCTCGAACTCCTGAGCTCAAATGATCCTCCCGTCTGGGCCTCTCAGAGTGCTAGAATTATAGGCATGAGCCACCACGCCCATCCATCCATCCTTCTTATTGATGCGTAGACACCGAGGACATTCTCGCTTGATGTACTTTATAAGAAATTTCTCATCAACTATTAAATTAATCATGGCTCTTATGTTCTAACTCATAGCAGATATCACTCACAGCCCTAAAAATGTGTTGCTTCTCTTATCTCTTCGTATTCAGTGGCAATTTATTTTTCTCTTGTTTGGCCTTTATGTTGGAACATGTATGATCCCAACATTGCTTTTTTGTGCTTTTATTCTGATGGTGTGGAATTACTGAGTTGCAGAGTATGCATATGTTCAACTTTACAAGATAATGCCAAATGTTTTCCAAAGTGACTTTACTAGTTGGCACTCCACTATCATATAAGAGTCCCAACATTTGGTATTTTTAGACTTCTTTTGTTAAATCGTGTATGTGTGTGTGTCTGTGTGTATCTTCTTATTTTTCATTCTCCAATTATTGGTAATGCTAAGACTCCTTTCCTATTTTGCCACTCAGTTTTTATTCTTCTGTGAAAATCAGTGTGTCGTGTTTTTCTTTTTCCCTGGTTCTCTATTTGGTTGTTTGCTGCTTTTCTTATGTATTTGAGCAGGTTTTTAAAAAACCTTAACTTTATATACATATTTGAAAACAGATATTTGAACTCCAACAGATACTTGCATGAAAATATTCATTGCAGCATTATTTATACCAGCCAAAAAGTGGAAACAACCCAAGTGTAGTGTCCATCAACAGATGAAGAAACAATATGTGGTATACACATATAATGGGGTATTATTCAACAATTAAAAAAAAATAAAATTCTGATACATGCTGCAACATAGATGAACCTTGAAAACATTGTGCTAAGTGCAATAAGCCATAAACAAAAGGATGAATGTGGTATAATTCTACTTACATGAAATATCTAGAATAGACAAATTTCTAGAGACAAATAGTAAATGAGAGCTTATCAGGGACTGGGAGGAGGGGAGAATGAGGAATTATTGCTTAATGGTTACAGAGCTTCTCTTTGGAGTGATGGAAAAATTTTGGAAATAGTGGTGATGGTTGCACAACATTGTGAATATAATTATTGCCACTGAATGGCACACTTAAAATGGTAAAAATAACAAGTTTATGTTATATATATCTTATCACAGTAAAAAACAAATCAGTTAGCACATTTGTGTGGATCCATTTCTGATCTCTCTATTCTATTCCATTGATTCATGTGTCTTTTTCTCTGCCAGCATCACACTATCTGAATTACTGAAGCTATACAATGCCTTGAATTTGTGTTGACTGAATTCTCCCATCTTAATTTTCTTTTAAAACATTCTGTCAGCTATTCTAGTTCCTTTGCTTTTCCATATAAATTTTAGAATATCTTTTCTACACCCACAATAAAAATACCTGGGGTTTTGATAGAGATTGGTTAAACCTGTATTGCTATAT